TTTTCTGTTTCCTCCTCCCTTTTCTTCAAAGGATTGCCACTATTAGCCATTGTTGGGGGCCAATAAAGAGAGACATGGGGTCCCCTTGGGGTGGAGCTCAGCTTCAAGGCTGCTTTCCTGTCAGTCTCCCCTGCCACCCAGCTCTCCTATAGGGCCCAACTGAATGCCCTCAGAGCCTCCTCTGGGTCCATCCCCGCTGCCCTCACTGTCCCCACCACCCCAGCTTCCTATCATCTCAGCAGGACCCACTCACACCACAGTAGCCTGGAGGGCTCAACATCCTCCAATTGGAGAGCAGAGTCCCCGGGGAGTCCACTCCCAGCACGCTTTGGTCATGAGCAGGGGCCAGAGACAGTGCCCAAGCTGTGGACCCTCCTACCTGGAATTCAGAGCAGACAGCATCCCCCTTCTGAACTTCATCCCCCGTTTCTCAGAAAGCTCGATCCAAATCCATCCGTCTCTTTTTTGCCCTCAAAACCACAGAATCATTAAGCAGCAGTCAGTTACACGCGACATAAAATAGAGACTTTCACACTGACTCGCAACAGTAAGTTAGGTTATCCTCCTTCCAAAGCAAGATGTGAGAGCCACAAAGGCAAACCGATCTTGCCCACGGTGAGAGTTTGTCTTGCATTTATCCACTGAGTGCAGGCTGGCACGCTGCTCAGAAGCCAGCACCAGCACTGCAGTAGAACAGCTGAGACCGACTCTCCTTCCAAGGCACAGTCAGATGAAACCATAGACAGCGTCAGGCTTCTGTGCAGGAGGCCCTGAATGGGTGAAGTGGGGCCACCAGGGGTGGTGAGACTTGAAGGAGAAGCCCCCTGTGTAGTCTGTGTACAGATGACGACCCCCACTGATCTGTCCAAAGACCTGCCTAGCAAAATAAAAGCACATGCTTTTATTATATCCCAAGAATATTATATGTTTATTATATCCCAAGAATATATCATTATATCCCAAGAATATATCATTTGTGTTTATTATATCCCAAGAATATATCATTTGTGTATGTTAGCTCTTCAACTCCTCACTATCACCCTGTGAGCTAGAAACTATTATTTGCTTTGTTTTATAGATGAAGAAACCAAGACACAGAGGCATTAAATAACCTGTGCACAACTATACAACTAGTGAGTGGTAGAGACAGGATTTGAACCTACTAGCCCTGGAGTCTACACTCTTGACCCTGGAAAAGCCACATGGCCTGGAAGAAAGGTCCGATACCTTGGCATGAGACAGCCATTCATTGAATATTCATTTTACAAAGTCGCACTGAACACTTCCATGGACAGGACACTGTTCCGATGCTTAGGGAAAGCAGGATACTTAGGGGAGCGCTTACACTCCAGGGAGGGGGACACATACAGACATGACAGAGCAGTAAATACTACGGAGAAAAGGAAGCAGAGTAAATAAGAGTGAGAGTGCTTAGGGAAAGGTCAAGCAAGGGTGTTGTTTTATGTGGAATCACAAGAGAAGGGCTTACTGATTAGGTGATAATTATGCCACTTTCCCAGGGAAGTGAGGGTCGGAGCTGTGCAGATGCAGGGAGAGGTGTCCCCAGTAGGGGTAAAGAGCAAAGGCACCCCTTGATAGGACGCATGCTTGGGGTGACAGAGGGAGTATGTGGGGTGGAGCAGAATAAATGAGGAGCGCAGTGGAAGCTTTGGGGAAAGGTCCTGGCAGCTCCCTGGACACCTTGGCTGTCACCTGTGGAGGACAGGAAGCCAAAGGAGTGTTTCAGGGAGAGAAAGACATGACCAGACCTCAGCTTGAAAGGATCCACAGTCGATGGTTTCAGGAAAGGACAGAAGCACAGAGACCAACGAGCTGGGAGGCTGTTGTAAGAGAAGGTGGTGGCCCCCAAATATATATGCACGATCTATATGCACGAGCTACCATTTGTGGTGCCTACTGAACTTGGGGCAAAGGTCTAAACTCACCAAGCAGTGGTCTCCAGGGCTTAAAAATCAGTCTCAAAATATTTGCCTTGAGGATTGTTGAGAGAGCTAAAGAAGGTAAGTAAAATTTGAAGCATGTGGAAGAAACTCAACCATCCCTAGGAGGGGTGGGAACCTCAGTTCCACAGTCTCTCTCTCCTCCCTGGAGACCTCACCTTCCATGGGTTCTGTGTTGCAGATTCTCAGCTGGCTGAGTGCCGCGGGCCCCCTGAAGTTGAGGGTGCACCCCTCTTTTCCCTCACTGAGGAGAGCTTCAAGGCCTGCCACCTGACCCTGACGCTGGACGATTACCTCTTCATCGCCTTTGTGGGTTTTGTGGTTTCTATTGCATCAGTGGCCACCAACTTCCTCCTTGGCATCACAGCCAACTGCTGCCACCGTTGGAGCAAGGCCAGTGAAGAGGAAGAGATTTGACATGGCTACGAGTTGTCCCTGCATGCCACTGGCCACCACCGCCACTGACCCCTGGATATCCTCTCTGACTGCCCACAGTGGCTCCAATGTATCCTGGCCACATCTGGCATGGCTCAAGCAAGCCTAGGAAATGAACTTTGTCCAAGCAACTACTGTGGGCCAGACACTGTGTTAGAAACTGGGAGTTTGAAATGAATATGACCTGCTCCCTGCCATCAAGGCACTTACCTCGAATTGAGGAGAGAGACTGGAAACTATTCCCTTTCACATGATTTATCAGCACTCTCTGAGCACATAGTTATGGAAGCCCAGAAAAGGAGTTATTGACTATGGCTAGAAAAGTCCAAGAGTATTGAAAAAGTGGAGGTGGTATGTGTGCTGGGTCATCAAAAACTATCTGCTTTTCAAGACAAAGAAGGACCATCATAAGCAAATGACCAAGGCCAGAATATGCACTTGTTAAAACTATGAACAATCTCTTAGGTCTTGGGTGTATTGAAGGGCAGTGTCATAGGACAAAAACCTGCCCTCTGACACTCAATCTATGCCCTCTTGGCTTTGCCCACCACTGCCTCGGAGGATGAGAATACCTCCACACCAGCCCCTTTGACCTCCTTCTACCAGAAGCAACCTGGGGAGACCACTTTCTATTGACTGCCCCCCATACTCTATGGCCAAAGGTAGCTGCCATTGGTGAGGTCCCAGGTAGCAAGCTGAGGACGGACATCTTCAGTGCCCTTTCTCCTACACCCATTTCCTGCCTTTCAAGCATTGGCTTCCAGAGATGGGGAGCAGGAGGTCACCCGATGGGGACAGTGAGAATTCCGGCACTCTAGGATTCCTACTCACTTGACCGTTCTTGCCACGGTGCTCACACCAAGGGATCTCACCAGAAAAATACAGCACTGAAGGAGAAGGCCACCCCATCTGTGACCACAAGAAGGTGTGCACTTTCTTCTAAGCCACTCGCCCATTCAGGCTTAAGAGAGAGCTATTAATTACCAAGCACTCACCAGTGTCAGGCACTGTGATAAGCTCTCTCCACAGACAATCCCCTTTAATATACATGAGACTCTTTTGAGGTGAGCATTGCCATTCCCATTTGACAGATGAGGAAATTACGACTTGCAGAACTTAAAGTCATGTGCCAGATAAGTCTGTGCTCTTTCCAGTTCTGCATTCAATTTGAGGAACAGCACAATTCCCTCTAAAGTTATATAAATTCTAATTCAAGTAGCGCTGATGATGCTCCTAGTAAGGACCAGGTGGTCTTCTAGGTCCTTCTACATTTATTGACTCATTTATTGCAATTCTCATAGCAACGCTGCTTAGTGGTCTTTCTTATACCCATTTTACAGATGAATTTATTGTAGTGAGTATAGTAATTTCTCCAAGGTTATCTGGATAAATTCTAGAAGGAAGGTGATAGGCAGCTCCATTCAGGGAAACTGTGTCTAATCAGTCAGTCCAAAAAAAAAAAAAATCAAGTAATCATATGTGCAAAGCACAATTACCATTGTTGTCATCATCTTCATCTTCACCATCTGTTTCATCAGCTTCCCTGTATTTGTTCAGCAATGGACAGTTCCTGAGTGCATTGCCATTATTCTCCTGACTTCACAACCCTATGTGGAAGCAAATCAAACATCACTACTCCTCTTTGGCAGATGGGAAAATAGAGACTCAAGAGTGGGTTTGACTTGCCTAAGCAATAGGATTAGGGCTCAAGTCCAAGTCAGTTCTTTTTCAGTGCTTTCCCAGGTACTCGGTGACAAAAATACCTGGGAGGATCGGTAGTGGGGCCATGGAGTCTGCTAGCTAGATAAAGGGCAGTGAAACCCAGCTGCTGGACAGATTTAGATACGTTCACAAGAGAGCAAATCAAAGTCTCTAGAAGACACCTGTCTTCCGATGTGTAAATGGCACATTAGAACTGGTGGCCCTGGGGGTCCATCATGCAAAAACTGAGATATTTGGGAAACGAGAGGAAGCTGTTCTATTCATGCCTGGCTGTGCTATGCCAGGCGAGATACAAAGGGTAGGGGAAGACCTTAAGACTTTTAAGGTGTTGACAAGACTGGTCAGGAAGAGAATTAAACGGGGACTGTCTATCTAGCCCCCAGCCGCAGCAGATTTGTGTTACCCCATTCACCTACTAGGCCTGAAAGCAATGAAGGAGAATAATATACCATCTTCTGAGAAGTCTTCCCTTACTCAGGCTACTCAGAGCTAGTCAACCAAAATCATGGCCAGGAACTTGGGCTACTTGAACAGACCTGGGATACTTGAACCTGTTCCCCTGACGCTCGCTTGCCTGTGGACTACTGTGACATCTGAGGCAGAACGGCACCCACTCTCCCTACTTCCATTGTGTCTGGTACTGGGGCTTCTCCCCAGCAGTCAAGCTGACAACCTAAAGTTTTGAGGGAGGAACTTTTAGAATTAATAGCCCTGATACAATTAGCGAAGCCACCCACAGAGGCCATAAAAATCTACATTAATCTCCTAGAGACTCTTGTTCACTGAAGTATAGTTAAACTATTTAAGATGTGTGCTCGTTTGTGTAGAATTAGCACCAAACACAACATCAAAAGCCCCTCGAAATCCAGTGTCGTTTGTAATGAGACTGTTTAGAACCCACTAATGGCAAACCTTTCCGAGTAGAACACATGACTTTTAGTGAACAGATACTTATTTCTAGAAAAAAAAAAAAGAGGAGATGCTTCTCTAGGTACTAGCAGGTCCAGTTAACTACTGAATATCAAATTTCCTGATCTTCTCTGTATCTACCGCCTGTCTGGAACAAGCCTTCAGAAGCAGCTTCTAGGGTCCAGCTTCTAGAGATATGCTAGCAGTCCTGGGTAGATGTTCCCACAACCCATCTGACCAACACCTCCTGAGGTGTTCCTATAGTGCTCCGCTGGGGTTCTTCCAACTGGTTAACATGTTAGTGTGATTCTGAGTCTGTGTGCCCAGCATGAGGTGGGCTGCCTAGGTGTTGGCTATCTACTGATGTGGGACTGATCTCTCTCTACTTGGGTTTGGTTCTCTGCCACTATCTATTCAAGTATTTACTGCATTACTTGATACACCAGCATGGAATCCCATTAGTGCTGAAGTAGGGATAGTGGCTCAGAAAATATATGGCTGAAGCTGCTTAATGATAGCCTGACTTCTTTCTTCCCTTCACTATTCCTTATCCCAGAAGCTTCCTTCATGCCAGCTCTGAGTCTTTCAAGGTTTGGCTAACCAATTGGGCTTTGATGGTCAAGGTCTGGGTCCAGAAAGTTGTTCAGAAAAAACCTGTCCCCCTCCTCACCATCCACACCTCAACACTCTGCCCCAGTTGCCTCTGGTCACCCTCAGAGAGACTCTCATCTGTTTTTCCATTCCCATAGGGACCCCAAGGAACCCTGCAGAATAGGCCCCCAGACTTACTGGTTCCTTGTAAGAAGCTGGATAGATGAAATTTGAAAAGACCGAACAGGTATTTCTCGTCAACCATCACGGAATACCTACAGTCCCATTTGCCCCACAGATGTCTTATGTCAGCATCCTTTCCAGCTCTAGAACATAAGGAGATACCTGTGTGTACTCCTCAGGAGAGCATCTTCCCAAAGCTAGAGAAACGTGCCTGCTCTCCCCCTCCAGAAGGAGGCAAAGGGGATGTAAGGAGGCCAGTTGCAAGGTTCTTTGTAAAATCACCACCATGTCTGCCACAGGTGGGAAGCTCTGGGTCCACAGAGTTCTCGGCTTTTCTGAGTGTTGTGCTGCAGAGTGCTGATGTCTGGGGGTGGGAGGGCTAGGGAGGGGTGGGGCGAGGGAAGATGCCAACCTTTGTATGGAGATGATTTTATAACCATGTACTTTTGTAACTGTTAAGAATTTTTCATAAATGTACATTAATAATAAAGAGTGTATAGTTTAACAAATTTTCTAAAGAGTTGTGAAGAGGAGGGAGAGGGAGGGAGGCAGGGCAAGAAAAAGCAAGAGAAAGGAACTAGGCGGAATCAAGAGAATGTGTGCCAAAATATACACACAAAAGGTCTATGGGGAGGGAGGAGATGGGAATAGTTAGGAGATGTGCCAGCCATGGAGGGCATGAGTGGGCGCAGAAGGAATATCACAGAAGCATATTTCTACCAGGCTAAAAAGAAGACGCGTGTGCCTGTATGCACACACCCCTGTGTGTAGGCATATTTTGGTGCCTGAAATTACACAAAGAAGAGAGCATATGTTTTATACATGTTGGTGTTTGCAGCTTGGGTCATCCATAAAACATGCCAAGGCAAGTGGGTGTGCCTGCCTAGATAGCGTCACTACGGAGTAGACGCCAGGAAGACGGACCATACCCGCCACTAGCTCGGGTGTACAGGAAACCAGGACCTGGATGCGTGGTAGGAGGCGGATGAGGCCATCCTCCGTGCAGGTCCGGCCTCTGTTTTCATAGGTTAATGGAGAAGGGAAGAGACTGTCAGCTCCTTCCCTTGCAGGTATTGCCTACACACCACTGGGAAGGAGACAGTGGGGACTGTACTTTGGGACGAGGGACAGAAAAAGGAGTAGAGTCCATCTGTAAGAACGCAGGGGCAGCCATGGTTACCCCTAAAAGGACATAGCTCTAAATCAGAAGCTGTTCTTCCTCCGACAGGGATGTCAACTTCCCTCTGTTCCTCCCACTCCACATCCATGGGGGACAGACAAATACTGTATTCCTAAGGTGAAGCCACTGAAGGAACACGGATGCTGACTCAGAACACTCCAAGCAACACAAGCACATGCACAGCCAGCCAGACCAGCGCTTACTGGAGGAGATTCCAAAGAGGCAAAACCTTTCTCTGGTAATTAAGTGCTTCATACAGACAATATTAAAGAAGTAGACTATCAAAAGCAAGGGGCATGAAATATCAGACAGCTCATGGAAATTCGGCCCCTAGTGCCTGACGACTTCTGATGACCATGATAATAATGAAGCATGTACTGAGCATATACTCTATGCCAGCTGTTGTGTTGAGCACTGTATGTAGATTAAGTCACTTAATTGTCACAACAACCCAAGATAGGTGCTTATTATAGCCACTTACAGACACAGGAACTATAGCTCAGACAGGCTAATGTAGGCTCAAGGTCACACCGCTTATAAACAAATAGGCACTGAATACCTGATGACTAAGTGACTTCAGGGGAGCACAAAATGAGACATAAAAGAAAATCCACTCTCGGTCAGAAGCAATTTTTTAGTCATAAAGATCTTAGCAAAAGAAAATTAGAAAGGTAATAAGTAAAACCAACACATGGCCTGCATATTTCGTTAAGTATAGTTATGATATTTGATAGCAGGTGATCCCAAAAT